GATTTTGACAATGACATCTCCCATGGTCCAGCTATGGAACCAGGGCTCTCAAGGTTGAAACCACCAAAATGCCTTGATTTTCAGAAGATAAGACATCACCTGTCATCTCCTCAAACTTTCTTGTTCCCTCTGGGCTTAGATGAAATTCTCACAGTACCTGAGGAGATCTTCCCAGTGTGCTCTTCCTCCTATAACACAAAGTATTTGGAGAGAGGAGTAGCCTAATTTGAATGGGCAACTAAGACCAACCAGCTTTACAGAATGCCTACTGACTGGTAGAGATTAAAATGGCTAGAACTGATCAGTTGACCTCTGAGATTAAGTGCTTTCACTTGACAGCAGGAAAATAAATTTTGGGAAACTCTTGAGTTGGCAGCCTCCTGGGTATTGGAGACATGCTTTCTCTTTGCTTTTGCTTTTTCATGCAACCTGAAGTCATTCCAGCAAGCCCAAAATGACAACAATCACACTATTCTTTGCCAACAAACTTCTTTACAACTGTCATGTTCCTAGTGACTATGTACCACAACTATTTAGAATATATGTGTATGTTGTTTACATCTACTGTTTTGTCTTTTGCTGTGTGAATTTCTACATTATATTTACGATTTTACATTACTGTAAGGCACCTCAGTTCCTTATTTAATTACAAAAGAGGGATGCAAATCTTAAACGATAATAAGAAACATTGTAAGTTATGCATTAGCTTTATTTAACAGCAATTCATGTCCTAGGAATTCCTGCCTAGTAGGTTCCTGACAGGTTGATCAAAGAAACAGATTCGCATGTATAAGCCTTTAAGAAACTTGAGAAAATTAGAATGACTATTAGCCACTAATTTCTTCTATGTGAAATATGTCATGCTTAATCTACCTCTTAATGCAGAGGCTACAGCTCCACATTCAGTATCTCCACTTGTCATTCAAATCAAACTTTAATATAAAACGTACACAGATGTATCTGTGCATAAAAATAAATTATCGTGCTTCAAGTGCAATCTTGCATCCAGAACTTGGCCAGCTGACGGTGCCAAAGGAGACTGTAGAAATTTCAGGACAGGTGAACGTTCGAGCATATAAACCGAAATGGACTATTCTGGCAATGGTGTTAAGATACTTGTCCTCATCCCCTAAACACCTCTGTACCCCAAACTAACTACAGTGGGGTCTTGACTTGAGAACTTAATCCGTATTGGAAGGCAGTTCTCAAGTCAAAAAGTCTGTAAGTCAAGTCTCCATTGACCTACAGTGCATTGAAAACCGATTAATCCCGTAACAGGCCGTTTTTGTTCCATTTTGGTTTTTTTCTGGTCTGTAAGTCAAATCTCAGTCTGCAAGTCAAACCTAAATTTTGCGGCCAGAGAAGTCTGTAACTCAAAAAGTCTGTAAGTCAATCAAACTAACTACATCATTCCAGAAAAGGAATGAACAGAAACATCAGCCAGAATCTCTCTCTCTTTCTCTCTCTCTGTGTGTGTGTGTGTGTTTGTGATGGTTTGAATGCAATGACTTAAACTGCAGCTACAAATTTCCACTAGAATTCCTCCCCGTGTGCCAACTGCACCATCTGGTGTAATGAGGAATACAAAGCAGTGACTCCTTAACTAGTAGCAATTAGCCATTGTGATGTTGCGCTTATGCCAGTGTACACAAGTAATAGAATTCTGGCTACCTTCTCCCACCCTGACTATAGCCAAGCCAGCAAGACTCAGGTAGCGGCAGTACAACAGCTCTGCAATGGTTCTCTACACCACCCCAAGAGGCTCATTCTAGCCCAGGGGTTCCCAATCCTGGGTAACTCAGGTGTTCTTAAACTGCATCTCCCAGAAACCCTAGCCAGCACAGCTGGTGGGGAAGGCTTTTGGGAATTGCAGTCCAAGAATATTTGGGGACCCAAGGCTGGGAACCACTGTCCTAGCCAACTACAGTCCTATACACATTCAAAACAGACTCCCCTGACCTCATTTCTGGATAGATTCATACAAATTCCACTGTTAACACTGAGAGCATTTGATAAAGCGCTTCATATACATTATTGTGCTGCAATCCATTTAACACCCTTCTGCAGGATGACAATACTATTCCCACCAAACACTAGGGAACAATTATTGGCCCCAAACTGCACATAGCTGCCCCTTGAGTAGGACTGCAGGTATTTCTCTGTTCAACATTTTAGAGTTCTAAATGCGAATAATTCTGCTTCACATTACATAATGGGCAGAAGACAATTTAAATCTTTCTTTTTCTTCAATGAATCTCTGAAATCCAGAGACAGAAATAAGAATGGCTGTCCGTAAGGGACCATGTTTTTCTCTCATGCTTTTCTCCCACCAAACTGAAAACCATATTGTTTGCTCTCTGCCAGCAAATCCCAGGGGCAATGTCTAAAGTTAATTTTTGTCCAGCACTTTGGAATGCCAAAGTGACATTAAAATGCAAGGCATAATCAGCAAGCCATCATCAACAGCTTGTGGGATGGGCAACAAGGCAGAGGTCATCGTACAGCAGAAACACGTGAGGTCTCTTACAGCATTTGTGAAGACAGGCAATTCTCACTTGAAACATTTTCTCCTACAATAGAAGAGCGCCCTCCCTCCTCTCATAGGCAAAGAAGAGGTGAAAGTTGCACAGGAAATGTTTTTAGCTTGGAGAATATCAGTTTTGCCTGAACTTCTTCAATTGTAGCACACCTATCTTTGGTGAAAAACAAAATGTACCTATTTATAACCTATTGATACATGATACTGGGATGAACCTTTTTTAAGTGCTGTAATTTATACAGCTCCTAAATGCTATGATTTTCTTTTCTCCCACCAAACTGAAAACCATATCCCTGAAAACATAAAATTCAGAAAATATCATGGACACACACCTGCAGTTTCAAGGAGCATTTAAAAGGGCAGTGAAACTCTTGGAGTTTGGAGGGGGGGGGACTGAAAGATTAGGGGCTAAATATGTTTATATGTGTACCTGAGTTTGGGGGAAAGTTATTTCTGGACTCCAGCTTCTGAAACTCCTTCTGGGCACTGGGTGTGGTGGCTTACGAATTCTAAGGTGCCCCTCCCCAAAAAAAGTAACTTTACTAAGCTTTGTAGATTACATGAGTATTTGTAATCCACTTCACATAGTCTGCTAAAGGCAGACAATACAGTGTCTCTCTCTCTCTTAAAATATTATATCCTGGTCCACTCCACAAAGTCTGCTAAAGGCAGACGATACAGTGTCTCTCTCTCTCTCTCTTAAAATATTATATCCTGCACTTATGCTGATGTAGAGAGCCACCCCAAGGGTGATTCCTGTCTCAACATGCCTGAACTCTCAGTAGACAAAGAATGGATTGGTGTAAACAACAGACATGGAGACTAATGTGAACTGACATCTGATTTGCTGATGGAGGAAACTAACAATACGCACAAGCTGTGATGCCTGCATGCTTTGAGCAGCTTTCTGGCCCCTCTGAAAGATCACACATCAGTCTGGAGCCCTCAAACACAGAACCCATGAACTCAAAAAGACAGAGAAAGAAAAAAAGAAAAATGGCCCCTTCTACTTTGCTCACCAAGCAAATCACCTGTCAAAAACTGATGTAAATCGAGGGCAGACAAATTGCTGCTGAAGATCTGAGGTCTTCTCCCCAGACCTCAGATCTACTGGGGATCCCCCTTTTTTCCAGCCACAAAAACAAAACCCTTTCCTGGAAGGCTTCAGAAGTGGTAATTTGCTCTTCGAATAGATCATAGCCTGCGCTGCTGCACCATTTGACACAGAAAAAAAATATCATTTTTTCAAAACTAGAAGTAGACTTTTGGCCATTTCTGGGTTTGTCTCTGACTTTTTTGTTTGTTTGTTTTTGTTTGCACGCACTCTGCACTTCACCTGGAAGGCTCCAACAAAAGAAAATGGGCCTCCAGATCTTGTCCATCTTGGCATCAGTGCTCTTGTACATTAAAGCCAAGAAGCAAGGAAAAGGCTTGAAGACAGACCAGAGAAGTACCCAAGCAAATGTAACATTTGGCACATGAATACCTCCCTCAAATTGACTTCAAAGCCCTGGTCGTTGCAAAATGAGGCATGGCATTTCCAAGTCCTCTGCCAGTGGGCAAAGGAGAGTTGTTTCAAAGCACAGATTAAGAAGGTCTGCAGATGTGTCATGTTTGAAGGTGGAAAGATAGAAGGCTCTGCAGAGGTAAACACAACTTTTTCAAACTCGCAGGGCTTTGGGATTCTGAGTGTTACAGACCAGAAAAGTAACTTTTTTCCAAGTTGTAGAGCCCATTGTGTCATATTTAGCTTGGAACTAAGCAACAGCAGTTGTGATACTTGTGGTGGTCTTTCTTGCCTTCAGCATCCAGTGCAACATAAGCCAGCTTTCCCAACTTGGGAGAGAGGGGATCCAACCAGCGTAGACCAGGAATCAAGGTGTGCTTGTTAATGAAACTAAAATGTACAGACACTTGCTTCACTATAACAACATCTGGAGCAAAGAGGAACCTGGGCCAGGAAAAGCTGCATTTGACTTGGGTCTGAGACACATGGCAGAACAGAAGAACAGCCACGAGGGATCAGGTCTTTCTAGTCCAGCATTCTGTATCTAGTTGCAACAACACCCTTTGAAATTCCCAGCAGCTGGTATTAACACACATCATCACCTCTGCAGCTGCAGGTCCTTCCCAACCCCACCTACTTCACCATGCAAGGAAGGATGCAAAAGCCCAATTAATTAGCTACACTTGACTCCTAGGAGAGAGTGTGGGATATTAGGTATGATCAAATGGGTTGGAAGTGCTCAGTACACAAATTAGGGCAGTTGCATGCCCACACTCCCTCACCCCACCAAACTGCCTGGCATGGAGACCCAACAGAGCTTCCCATATTAGGGTGTGCAAAATGTTATAGCAAGAAGAAAGGAAGGCACCACAAGATGACTGCTACCGATAGGAGTGGAAGTTCAGAACCACCAAGGGCAAATGAAAGTCTTCCCCCTTTCCTCCGCCATAGTAACTGAGCAGTCCCATGAACCATTACAATCCACAGCTAGGGAGAAAAGAAAAATAAGCAGTTGCTCAGGCCACTAATTCCAATTCTTCACTCTCCAGACACTAATGATCATCCCTAACCCCTCCATGGGGACTCCATGGAGTTGAAACCCAGCATCATCTGTGGACCTCCTAAAACTCCTCTAAGTTTACTACAGGGTCACCAAAGTCACTCCACAGGCTCTTTGCAACATATTGAAAGGAATTCAACCCTCACCTGTCTTACTTAAAGCACCTTTCTTAACCTGATGTCCCGCCCCCGACAACCATTCCCATTATTGCCCCTCCCGCATGCTGGCTGCGGCTGATGGATGTTGTAGTCCCCGAAGTCGGGAAGGGTGCGAGGTCCGGGGGAGCCCGATTCGCTTTTCCTTCCCTCAACTCGAGGGGTGGAAAAAAAAGTAGGGTTGGGACGCCAACCTTTCCCCTGGAAAAAGGACTGCCCAGGCGCCAACGTCTTCCTAGCCGGGGCGAAAAGTGCGCGGCGGCGAAAAAGTTCTGCCCTGCGGGCGGAGGAGGGACCGTTTCCTGCCCCCAGCCATTTGGAGGCACGGGACAGTCTCCTAGGGCGGTTCCCGTCCCGTCACACCTTCGCGGCCCGGGAGAAGGGAAGCCCCAGCTTCTCCCCGCTTGTCCCCCGCCTCACGCCCCAGCTCCGGAGCAAAGGGCGGAAAGCAAGGAGGGGCGGGCAGGTCGCGGCTTCCCGCCCGCGCTTGCAAGCGGAGGGCGAGTTGAGCGCCGCGTGGCTCTTGCCTCCCCCGTCCCCGGGCGAGACCAGCCGCGGGCTGCCAGGCTCCTCGGGCGCCAGCGGGAGTCCCCCCCCCCGCTCCGTCCCCCGCGCGCTCTCTACCTTGCTGAACACTTCCAGGTCCTCGTCGTCGTCGTCGAACTCCAGCACCTCCGG